TCTTTAGAATTGCAACCCAAGGCATTGAATCGATTAGAATCTCACTAATTTTCTAGTTATGTAGAAGTGTATTAATATCCAACAGCATTAGTGAGATTCTAATCGATTCAATGCCTTGGATTACAATTCTAAAGATGGTTTCATTACAAAATGATGATATGCAAGCATAGCATATTAATATCAATTATTCTTGGTTTTCTTATTTTAGCCTTAGATTGTTGATATCTTGAAATTCAATTATCTCCCTTAAGACTCGTTATAGGCATGTCAAATTTTAAATTTCTTAGTTTGGTGATGAGAGCTTTCATTTGATGCTAAAATGATTGAATTTCTCGAAATACAGTTCCCGACCCTTCATTGTCAGTGTAGAAGCATCATAGAATGTTTTTTTTTTGAAAAATAGTCTATGATGTCTTCTACAAACTTTGTTTGTAGTGTTTCAATTGGATATGTCGACTTTATATTGTGTACTAATTACTCTAACTTCTTAAAGAACATGTGCGCAACATTAAAAAGTACATAAGCTTTTAGATAATTTTGTAGAATATGAAAGTTCTCGATAAGAAATCTGCTTGTGTGGATTGATAGCTTCTTTTAAGCACTATCAAATAGTACATAAACTAGGCATGGGAAGTTACCATAACCGGACAGTTACGTTATCAGGTAACTGACAATTGTAACATTTCTGTTTAGTGGGGAAAGAATCACAGAAGATGTAACAAATACCTTATAATGTAACTGTTGATAGCAGTAACTTGGGACCAGTAGGTGAGCAATTCCAATCTAAGTGGGTTTGTCAAAATTTCCAAGCTGAGTTTTTTCAGTTAGAGGAGACTTTTTTCACTAAAATAGTGAAATTTGATAAAACGTGACTAAAGACGTTCGCGGGTAAGGAATCCAAACCTACAAACCATTAATCCAAATTTTCGACAACTCCCCTTAGATGTGGATTGCTCACCCACTGGTCGCAAGTTACTGCTATCAACAGTTACATTATCAGATATTGGTTACCTGTTCTGTGATCCTTTACCCACTAAACAGAAATGTTACAGTTAATAGTTATCTGGTAACGTAACAGTAACTTCCCGGCCCTTATAAAAACAATTCTTTTAACCAATCTTTTTTTTGATAAAGATCATCTAATTGGTATAGATCCGACACTGTCGAAGTTATAGAGAATTTTTAAATTTTAAATTATAATAAAAATGATTTTTGAATATTTCAATGTCTGAAAATATTCTATTATTTCTAAGCAAGTGAAGTTAAATTTTTTTTAAAACGTACGATTGATAAAGTTTTGATTGGGCTATCTGTCTATATATTTTGATTTCAACTTTTCTCTTATTGGCGAAAAGAAATAGCGAAATACATTTGTAAAAAGTTGCGGAAAAGTTTTTCAGTCGTTAGCAATATTTGAGATGTTGAACTATTCTAGTATGTACGGCTGAACTACTGTTCAAATAAAGTTTGTAAAAGGCATCATCAGCTATCTTTCAAAAAACAAATTGGCATTATACAATGCTTCCACACTGGAATACAGAAGAGACAAAATTAATACAAAATTTTTGCCCCACTCGCTTAGTGAACACTCTGCCTCAGATGTGGCTACCTTTATAGCTGATGCATCCGATGATAGACGCGTGAGAAGAGTACCAACTGAATTCGCTTCATTGTCAAAATAACCAATTTCTTGTCGAAGCATAGCTGAAAATGTCAACTTTCGCATGTGCATGGTCAGCTCTTCGCCAGACTTAGCAAAACTGACGCTACTGAGAAATTGAGTCATTCCTGCAGCTAAACCGATAAGAAAAATAGTTGCCGCATATATGCTTATTAAACGTTCCTGTTCACGAAGGTCTGACTTGGTAAACAATCCATAGATTTCAGCAAACAAAAGTTCAAAAAGCGGCTGAGTGGTACCATAGATGAGCGAACAAATAACACCCAAGAGAATCCATGGACATTTTGAAGCATTTAGCTTTAAAATTCTCAATCCAAACGGAATACGAAAACTTTTTTTTCTCTTTTCTTTTGACGGATCACCAGTTGTTGTCTCATCATCATTATCATCATCATTATTGTTATCGTCTAAGTCGTCAGTCGAAGCATTAGATTGTTTTACAAAGCTACGATTTACTAGAATAAAGAGTATAGTCTATTTTACACTTTTACCTATTAGATAAAAAAAACACATACCGGATCTCCGGCGAACGAATTCTTTTTCCACTTCATCAACTTCTTTGTCACTATCTGAGTCAGTTTCTTTTTCTTTTTGAGTTTGAGCTATGACTAATTCATAGTAAAGATCTTTGCGCTCCATCAATTCATTATGAGTTCCACATTGGACCATGTGTCCATGATTTAATTCAATTATCAAATCAGCATTGATTATTGTACTCAAACGATGAGCAATCACAATGGTTGTTCGACCTCTCTTTGCTTTATCCAATGCATCTTGCACAATTCGTTCAGTTGTATTATCTATTATATAAAGCATTCGTTTTGCACAGGACAAAAACGTAGAATAACTAACCAAGTGCACTTGTTGCTTCATCTAAAAGAAGAATCTTTGGGTTCGAAATCAATGCTCGAGCAATAGCCACTAAAATAATAATTACAACATTCTCAATTTAATAATAAATAATCAGTACTTGTAGAGTTAATGTTTCTAATTCGAACAACTTTTCCAGGAGTTCGAAGACTTCTCTTTATTACATGGGACACTTCAAAAGTTTTTTCCTCAGCCCTTTGAGCAAAGATTGGAAGATTGGTTTTCGTATAGTTTTTCACAGCACTGCCCTAAAACATCAAAATACTTGTGCCCTCGATTAAATCACTAATCGAAACAGTTTTATACGAAAACATATGTTCTGAAAAAATAGCCATTATTCATCTGTCGGGATTTTTGGGTTGTGGTTGATCGCGGATCAGTTTTTGCCCCTAAAACTTTTGATTACTGGTCTGTTTTGGAATAATAATAGTAGGACTATGATTCATCACTATTTATATTGTCGGATACACAATTAGATTGGCCTTCCGCAAATCTTTCCAGTAAATGATTCCAAAACTCAAAATGACAATTGTTTTTGGTTATCACACATTTGACAGAGCACTTATCGAAATATGACCTTTGCGCAGTTTAAATAATCATGAATTTTTAAATTGACGGGCTGACGAATTGATGCCCTAGGGGTCTTCTATCTGTTCCTATGCTGGATGAGAATCATTTTTTATTTATTACTCAAACAGCATCAACGGTTACTTTGTTAACGGTAGACCGAAGATGACTTGAACGAGCATCGTTTTTCATACTATCAACTCCTCCCTTGAAATTCATGTAAACAATTGAGAACTGTACGGTCTGAAGGTGCTTGATCCCCTCATACTTGGACCGAAGGGGCATGGCTTTCCTTGTACGTTAACCCAATTTTCCAGTCATATAATATTATACTTCGAAATTGTTTCCGTGAGAGATTACAATTCATATTGAAAACAGTGTATGACTGATCTGAGAGAAATAAAAATATCTAACGATATACAAAACTTAAAAGCCGGAAATTTTGCATCTATTCCTAAATATGTTTGGGCATTATAGCAGTATAGTTATATCTTAATCAAGTCTTTTAAGAGGATCGTGGGAAAAAAAGTTTGGCGTGCCCTATGTATTAAGGGAGTTTTCAACAAACCTATCGATTGTTTTATATTATTGAGTGAAGAAAGTCTGCTGAATCAAATAATGCAAAAATCATTCGATTATCTTGAAAGATGAATGAATACTTAGTGGTAGTTTGAGAGTAATTGCATCTGTCCTATTTAGAAGCACTGTTCCTAATAAAAAAACGCAAGATATTTTTAGAAATTTAACATCTGAGTCATTTTGAATTATAGGGAACTCAATCTGGAGATACATATTCCTTGATCGATAAGGAACATTTTTTGTTCCAGATATGTATCAAAATTTTTAAGTTCGAATAGTGAAGTCTAGTGATTTTTTAATTTTCTATTATTTTATCTTGTTCTACACCTATACTGTTCTTTTTAGGAACGGTGCTTCTAATAAGGACAGGTGCAATTATTCTCAAACTACCACTAAGTATTCATTCATCTCTCAAAATAATCGAATCATTTTTGCATCATTCGATTCAACAGACTTCCCTGTACTCAATAATATAAAAACTCTATAGATTTGCCGGAAACTTCCTTAAGAGTAAAGAGAATTCTTCAAACTTCTGGGAAAACTGTTCGAATTGGGAACATTGACTTTACCTCGTTGCTTTTGACCACCACTGAGTTTATCACCTGATGATGTTTTATAATTCTACAAATCATTATATATTTATTAATGAATGAAATGGATGAACAATAAAAGAGGTACCTCTGGAAGTGTCATGATGAAACCGTGCGCATTAGCCATTTTAGCAGCAGCTTGTACTTCATCATCTGTTGCATCTGGTTTACCCAAACGAATATTGTCTTCAATCGATCCAGAAAAAAGAACGGGCTCTTGATTAACTATTCCAATTTGTGAACGAAGCCATGCAACATTTAATGTTTTGATATCTCTTCCATCAAGTAAAACTCGACCATTATCCGGATCGTAGAACCGTTGAATCAATTGTAATATTGTACTTTCTGTCATAGATATAAAGTTTGCAATATAGGTCATAAGTAAAATAACATACTTCCACATCCTGATGCTCCAACTAAAGCAATCATTGTACCAGATCGAATCTTGATCGATAGATTGTTGAGAACCTAAATAAACGGAGAAACATGATTAGCTGAAAATGTCGTGAGAAAATAAAGACATACAGAGACTTCTTGTCGTGCGGGATAAGTGAAAGTAACGTTGTCAAATTCGATGTCACCTGTGATGATTTGTGGTTTTTCACCTTCGTCATTTGATGCATCAATCTTTGTCTTCTAACAATATAAAAACATCGAAAATATAGAATCACTGCTGGAAGTGTTCACTTACTCGTTCAATGATTTCAAATACATAACTTTCACTAGCTAATGCTTCTGCAAAATTTTGGATGTTCGGAATGAATTGTACCATACCGAATATTGCTATCTAAGGAGTATAGATGTTATTTAGAACATTTTTGTCTTACTGTTTTGAGAGAAAATGACATACAATACACGCGATAAATACCTAAATATACTATTGTAAATTAAATGATATAAATAAAAGTCAATAAGGATAGACTACTTACGACGGTCACCGGACCAGCGGAGTAATTTGCGCAATCAGTTCGCGCAAGTTGTAGGCCATACCTACAAAATGGATCAGTCGTGAGTCTTATAGAAAGTAATAACACAGAATTGAATACCAGAATGTGATTGTAAATGATAGAAAAGTGAATATTTGTGAAAGACCATGGCATATTCCCATATAAAGACCTTTTCTAATTCCAATGTTTTTTGTCAAAATTAGATTCTTAGCAAATCTAAGTCAAATGAAAAACAATAAAATATGATCATTGATAGACAATTATAATCTACCTTTCTTCGTCTTTTTGTTGACCATGAAATGCTGTCACTGTTCGAATGTTCTGTAGCACTTCTTGAGCAATCGATGACGCTGATGCAAAAGCTTGTATTTCTTTAATCGTGTATTTCACAAGAATCTGAACGAAAATTCCTTTTCTATTGCATTCTACTATGTGGTTTAGATGGAACGACAGGGTCAATATTTCGGCTATACTGACGCTCAAATAAATTTAAAAAGTCAATTTTTCTTCAATAGAATCGCCCTCATATTGTCTTCCAGAGATCAAAACCGAACAGAATCGGACTCGAACCAACGGAACCCAGTTCGATTCCATCTCTGTCACCTACCAAAAGACATAAATAAGTTTACGAGAGAAATGTTCATCTGATTTTTTATCTTGATGCAAACGTTTCTTGAAATCACCTGCAACTTCTCAAATAGCTTCTTCTCATATTTCTTTTGCACCAGTTTGTAATTGTTCAATAAAATGTTAAATTCAATGATATTTTATCTAAGTCCATTATTTGATCTATTCATTGCATAAATAAAGTGAACAGAAGATTAATTATAAAAGGAATTGGTTCAAGCAACGAATTTCAATAAAAATCATGAAAGGAAGTGCTGCTTATAACTCCGCCCCCCGCAATTTTGTTTTCGTTCAACTATTTTTTGGTTGTGGGTAGTGTGAAGATATAAAGTCACCCAACCAAATCTTGAACATTTTTAGTCTTAGCAAAAAGGTCAATACTTTCGAGACGGGTCATTTATATAGAAAAATACCAAAAAATAAGGAGTATTTAGAGATTTTTGTTGTCGAAAGTTGATTTTTATGTCAAATGAATATGATATCTAAAATCAGCATGAAAAATGACACTAGAAACTCTATTTTTTATTGTAAAATATTTTCCATGAAAATTTGACCCCAACTCCCCTGAGTCTTTTTTCCTGAAATTTTGTCCCCTGCTCCCTCCTACGGATCAAATTTTCATGGAAAATATTTTACAATGAAAAATAGAGTTTCTAGTGTAATTTTTTATGCTGATTCCCAATATTTTGCTTATTTTACATAAAAACCAGCTTTCGATAATAAGAATCTCTAAATACTTCCTATTTTCTGGTATTTTTCTATATAAATGACCCTTCTCTAAGATATTGATTATTTTGCTAACACTAAAAATGTCCAAAGTCTGGTTGGGTGATTTTATATCTTCACACTACCCACAACCAAAAAATAGTTGAACGAAAAAAGAATTTGCGGGGGGGGGGGGTATAGCCTATGGAAAAAACGTCACTTCCTTTAACACTCATTGAACAATTACAAGTTGCTACAGAAAAAAAAAATAAGAGAAGATATATTATGAAAGTGCGAATAATTTCATCGAACATTTGCATTGTGAAGCATTTGTCTCATAAGATGAGTAAGCCATATTGAGGACAAAGTTGAAAAGATTCTTTCGAAAAAACTTTAGGTTTTGAACATTGGTTAAATACAGCTTTTAGTCGAAATATTGACAGCTTCGTTTAATTTGACCATGCGATATTTATTCAAAGCAAATTTCCTTACTTTAGCAGTCAAGTTAAAAGTAAGAATTACTAAAGGAGAAATAGATAAAAATACAAGTGCTAATTTCCATCCCGTTGCAAGAGCATAGACAAGTGTACCAAGAACTCTTGCTAGAAGTGAGATAAAATCGGGCACCTTCTCACTAAAATTCAATAGTGACAAATAAATATATAATCAACTTTATAGAAAAAATATATACTTGATGCCATCTTTGATTTTGTCTATTGATATCAAAAGAAAAATTATTTTAAACAAAAAATACATTTCTGAATGCATTTTCTTACTTAAGTCTTCAATAAGCCTGTTACTCAATTCACCTGCATTGTGCATATCAAACCAACCAATTTCTTGTCGAAGAATGTTTCGAAAAAGAGCATAACTTAGTACAAAATTCAATCAAATAAAGCTTTTTCTATATAGAAGATCACAAACCGAATACGTCGAACTTGTCTTTCAGCTGCCATCATCCAACACGCCCAAGCTATCCAATAAAGAAAAATACTGAGAAATCCAAGAAGAATATAATATTTTATGATGCTCAGTATAGTTTCATGAGGTGAATCGGCTTTAGTGGTAGTTGGTATAATATAACTATTACAAGACGAAAATAAGCGAAATGACAACTGTATAAAAAATAATAATCAATTATAGATACCATTCACCGAAATGAGTAACGACTGCACTAACATTAGTCGCATTTGTTTGTAGTTTGCCGAAATCAACAAGAGTATCAGTCACTCTTTGATAAAGAAAGAGTATCAACGTATAGCACGCTACATAGACAAGAAAAAAAAATTTATATATCTTTCCTTTCTCGTCATTCATAATGCCTACCGCCAACTGCTATTGCTAAATATAAATAAAAGTGAATATATATCTGTAGATAGCATTAAAATCAAAATCTACCAACCGGCTAATGATCCAATGATCATTAAGAAAATATCCCATATATCAGCAAATTTGTAAATTTCATATAATTTCAAACGACGAGTTTGAGGCTTAGACGGTTGTTTTGATTTACGGTAGAAACTATAATAAACGAAAGATCAAAATATGGACATCAATATTATTTAACAGATAACTGAGAGAAACTAACGGCATTTTAAAAAAAAACAATCGCTTGCGACGAACGGATGTCTGTTGAATCATTCCCGCTGCACCTGGAGGAACAATCATATCAAGCTGAACTTGTTCTATTATATCGATATCATCAAGTTCTATTTGTATTTGTTTTTCTTGAGCATCATCACCTAAGTCATCTTCAGCATGATCACGATGATCGTTCGAATTATCAATCTTAGGTACAATCGGAACTGATATACCGTTTGAAAGAGATCTATTGAAAGGAATAATCAGTTAAGAAAAAAAGTGTATTTCAATTACTTTTCAATATCATTATTTATTCCTTTTTGTACAGAGATTCGTGAAGGTTGATACTCATGGACAGATGACAAAAGTGTTGATGATACAGGTGACAAATCGTCATCATTAACGTCTTCTTCGTTTTCAAAAGCAGGATTTGACACATTAATTACTTCACCATGTGCCATGTATATTCGAGTGTTGCGTAGACTAAATATTTAATGTCTATTACTGTTACATATTTAGGAAATCAAGAATAAGGAAGATCCATCAACAGATGAAAGATGATGAGGATGAGGGAGATGAATTCAGCTTTACTAGCGATGTGCCATCTCTACAGAAGACGCTGCATCTTCTGTTGGATATATGTATCCCTGGATGATCCTAAACTGATAATTAAAACACCATTTTCCTTTAAGCCTAGGATTATTCAGGGTAATGCATATCCAACAGAAGATGTAGGATCTTCGGCAGAGATGGCATATCTTCAAGCTTATCTCTATCAGAGATGAAGCCATCTTCTTTAATTCAATTCAGAATCCGATGGATCCTGTGTCTTTCGACTTATTTTTTCAAAAGAAAGATTTGAATGAATCCAAATGATTCGATTATCGGATTCGACAGAAACCGATCGAATCTTTTCTGGTAGGATTCACTGGTTAGATTGAATCATCTGGGACGATAAGGCTTCATTTCAAGGATCTGATTCGCCAATAATGTTTGTCTGGAGATTTGCAGCGATTTAAGGTTTTTCGAAAGAAAGCTTATTAACGCAGCCCCTGATGATGTTTCAATGTGAGATTCACATAAACTCTCATGTCCCAAATTGCAGACAACTTGTTCTGTATATGCAGGAGGCTCTCTATATAACAAGAATAGCTAAGATGAATTCATCTGTCTAGTTAATAGTTCAAGTATTTGCTACATTTTCTCATCTTCTTAGTCCTTTTTTCCCTTCTTTAATTGTTTCCAGGCGTTTGTAATCCATTTCCTTTTCATTTATGTTTCTTTTTTTCATCGTCCGTTGTTTAAGAATAGATTACAGAAACCCTAAATATAGAAATCGAGAACATAAATGTTGAGTTGAGAAGCCTTTAATGGTGACATTTGGACCAAAAATGTATAGAAAATGAAGATTTTGCGCTATAGAACCCTTATTATGATGCCCTAGGATATCCCTAAGATTTTTCTGAAATTCTCTACATGCATGATTTTTCTCTACATTTTTGGTCTCAAATCCACCATTTATGACTCTCCAACTCAACATTTATGGTTTTGAGTCAACATTTATGTTAGGCATTAGTGCACCATTGAGCATAAACGCTGACCTAAAACCATAAATGTTGAATTTGGAAGTTATACATGCTGTGTTTCAGAGCAAAAATGTAGAGAAAAAGCATAAATATAGAGGATTTCAAAAGAATCTTAGGAATGTCCTAGGGTATCATACTAAGGGTTCTATAGAAAAAAATCTTGATTTTCTCTACATTTTTGCTTTTCTAACCATTTCCTGTACATTTATGTTCCAAATATCACCATTTATGACTACCTAAGTCTACATTTATGGTTTCGTTTATTACATATAGAGAATGAGTATGATCTTTTGCCTAATTTTACATAGATTTATTAGTAGAACCATAAATACAGAGTTTTGAAGTCATAAATATGGAAAATATATAAAAAATGGTGATTTTTTCATTGGACATTGCTGGCGTCAACAGCCTCTCCATAGCGGCGTTCGCTATTTTTCTACTAACGTTTTTTCTCTATAGATAATGTCATGTGTTTGTTTTTACCGGATCGGACGCACTACTAAGCTTTTCGCAATTTTTCTCGAATACTTTTAGATGTTTTACAACATGTTCATAGGGTATAAAAGGAGGCACCAGAACCATGCATTATCCTTTTGTTAATACAGACGATCATCGATATTTTAAGAATGAAAAAGGATGTTTGTGCAGTATACATGAGATTTCGCTAGTTTTTAATATTTATTGCCGTGCCTAACATGGAACAATCATGGGCGGTTCCATGGTACTTGTGACACGATATACACGACCTTCACCAAATCGTTTCAAACTTTCAAGGCTTGTGCAATAATCATTTCTAAGGCTTTTTTACCATTGGAGAAAAGTTATACCACGTTTTGCTGAAGAACTGTACTCAAAATACTAGATGCCCCCCCCGCCCCCCCCCCACCGCCCGCCCGCCCGAC